GCAGGCATTACTGGTAAGGCTTATGATTTAATAAATTTTTTTTTCTATTTACCTAATTCATCTTCACCAAATCCCAAGACAGGGCCTGAAAAGAAACCTCTACATGAACCAGTGTTGCCAAGACAGAGCGGTTTCTCTTGCCACTGTTTGGTTGCAGGACTCTGTTGCAGTGTTAAAAAATTTCTGTATTCAAAAACAGATAAAGCAAATTGTTATGTTACATTTTGAATAGAGAGTTTTCACTGTCCAAATAAATAAGTAAACAGTTGCTCCAAGTAGCTCCATAGATACATCTCTGCAGTTCATCATCTTATAATTTCTTGCCTTTATTTTTCAGATGCTTAAAAAACACAACATTTCCCTTCCTGGCATTCAAACATTGCAAAATTGGGTTCAAGCTGTACTATATAGCCATTTGAGAATACTGAGCTCTTTCACGTGGGAAAACTATGCCCATTCATTAAAAAAAAAAATAATTTTGCTCCATCAGTGATGTTTCCATAAAAACCCAAAAGTTTTCAATGTCTTACTAGTTAGACCTGTTTGGGAAACAGTTCCACAATTAACGTGTGTTCCCATCATAATGTAAATGATACATGTAAGCGTTTGTAGAACTAAAATCTTAAGAGCGCCGTGATGTGTCTTTGTCTGTACTTTTTTCCAAGATTCAGGGAAGTTACATATGTCACTGTTCCTTAGAATGCTGTGCTATTTTATTTCCAAATCTAGAATTTAATCTGCATTGTCACACTGTTAAATTGGCAATATGACACAATATACCAGACTGTTGGTGTTCTTTTATATGGGAAGCTCAATAACTAAATATCCCTTATACACATTTTTATTTAAGAGTGAGTTATAAGAAACCTACCCATTGCGGTCTCCAAATACATAACTTCCATAGAGTCTTTCAGACTGGCAGCCTCGGTAGACAAATCCACCAACCAAGGATCCACTGCTGAATGGTTTGAATTCTAAAAGTGAAGGCTCACTTTCTAAAAAGGAACTACCGTAGCATTAGATCATATGCAGTTTCATATTTTGATTTACACTTAGGAAAATGTTATTGCTTCAAGAAAAGATATTAATTCCATATTAACATTCTTCAAAATTCAAGATGTGTTGCCAGAAATGAAATTTTAAAAAAATGAGAAAATTACAACAAAGGCTGTTTGTGAAACAATCAGTTAGGAATTTAGATAGAAGAGGCTATAATTCCTTTCTTCCATGTGCACAGGCTGGGAGAATAAAACTATATAAGGATTAAGCCAGAGTTTCCTTGAAGTTGATGTGATTACTGCTATTAACTTTTACGTGTTGACACAGTCTGCAGAATGGATCTCTCGAACTTCAGGAATACAATTAGAGCCCCTTTACAGTAAAAGTCCTTCCAGTATCTAAGTGCAGAACTTCCAGTGATTTTCAGCGGAACTTGTTTTCAAAGCCTTTCAATGGTTTGAGAAACTCTTTCAAAATCAGTTTTAAACAAGGTATGTGTGTTACGTCCCATGAAACACTAGTATTGCTGGCTGTAGCTTCTTGTGGTAATATATTTTATGCTGCTGTTGTAGTTCCTACACTTTTTTTTTTCTTTTTTTGGCAAAACTGCAGAGTTTAGTCATATCACATAATGTCTTCAAAAATGTTTCAGTGTAAATGTTCCTATACATACAACCAAATACTCTTTAGGGCAAAAGTAGGCTCAACTTGACATGCTAACTGCATGATTTTAAATTAAAGCCACAGCCAATAGACCTTTTCGTTTTATAGGAACTTTTTTTTTAGTTGGGGGGCTATCTGCAAGTCTTTGATAAATGAATTTCCCAGATTATTCTACAACAGTAAGAGCTGAAATTTTATGTGGGAGAAAAGGATGATGAGCTCTTTCTATTGAAGCAATTGACCCACAGCCTAGTATTAGTATTGGCAAGCTGTTCTGGATAGAGACAATATTGCTTAGTTTACTCTGCAGTAAAGATGCTGTCAGAATTCCACTGGAGCAGTGGTTTACCAAATATTACTCTCTGGTTTGGCTTTTGTAAAATGAACACAGAAAATAAATGCAATAACTAAAGTAGAACAATTGCATTACACTATTGTGTACTATTGTGCTAGTCAGCACAGCTGCATTGCTTTTAAGTACAGGTGGGAGAACTAGGATGTGAATAAAACCAGAAAATGCTACATTCCAGGAGACAGAGCAGTTCTTGATGCCTTTACGCACCTTTGGCATTTATCACCTTTTACCACCATGAATCTACAATCTCCTAAATCTCTACCAAGGTCGATGATAGCTCAGAATAACTATCACCTGGCTTGCCTGAACTAGGAAGCGATCTTAGTGAGTATCAGAGGTAAACATTAAACTAAAACTGTGACTGACAATCATACTGATTCAGAGAGAACATGAAACAATAAACTTATATTATATTCTTTTATATATATTACAACAATATATAGTATATAATATTATGTAAAATATTATATATACTATA